CAGAGCGACGACGGGGGCGAGCGAGGCTCTGGGCAGAGCGCGGCGCGGTATTCGCGCGACGCGCGATGGCGGCCCCGAGAGGGCCCCAGCGACGCGCGCGGGTCGCCCGCGGCGCGAGGCAAAACAGTCAGACCGTCGAGAGACGGCGAGGCTCGGGCGGGCCGCTCCTCAGGTCAAGCCTCGCGGAAAAAACTTGGTAAAGCCCAGGTCCCTGGCGGGGCCGCCGTGCGAGCTGCGCCGCTGAGACCATAGGTGGAGCTCCCTATGGGGCCACGAAGCGCGCGGGGGGTGCGCCGAAATGGGGCGGGGTCGCCATGCGAGCTGCGCCACTGGGGCCATATCTTGATGGGGGCCACGAAACGTGTGAGGGGTGCGCCAAAGTGGGGCGAGGCCGCCGTGCGAGCTGCGCCACTGGGACCTTCGATGGAGCTCCCTATGGGGCCACGCAACGTGTGCGGGGTGTGCCAAAATGGGGCGAGGCCGCCATGCGAGTTCCGCCGCTGGGTCCTTAGGTGGAGCTCCTTAGGCCACGAAACGTGGCGTGTGTGTGTGTGTGCCAAAATTGGGCGAGGCTGCTATGCGAGTTCCGCCGCTGGGACTTCAGGTGGAGCTCCTTTGGGGCCACGATGCGTGCGAGGGGTGTGCCAGACTGGGGCGAGGCCGCCATGCGAGTTCCGCCACTGGGACCTTAGGTGGAGCTCCCTATGGGGCCACGAAGCGTGCGAGAGGTGCCCCAAAATGGGGTGGGGCCGCCGTGCGACTTCCACCGCTGGGACCATCGGTGGGGCCCCCCTATGGGGCCGCGAAGCGCGTGGGGGGGTGCCGCAATGGGGCGGGGCAGCCGCGCGAGTTCCGCCTTTGGGTCCTTAGGTTGAGCGCCGCGAAACGTGCGAGGGGTGCGCCGACAGAGAGACATGCGGAGGGCAGATGCAAGGAGGGGGGGAGAGGGGAGGGGGGGGGGGGGGAGGAGGAGGAGGAGGAGGAGGAGGAGGAGGAGGAGGAGGAGGAGGAGGAGGGGGAGGAGGAGGAGGAGGAGGAGGAGGAGGAGGAGGAGGAGGAGGAGGAGGAGTCGCGGGGCGCTGTCTCTTCAAAACGAGGACCCAACACCGCAGGATGATTGCGAAAAAAAAAAAAGACAAGGGCATCCCAAAACGGGATGCTCTTGCCATCCCACAAAGGGCGGGGGGGGGGCGGCGCCGAAATGTGGTTTTGATGGGGCCGCGTAGTATGGGGCCCTTGCCCGTCCTATCTCAGCGGGTATCCGCGGTGCCCCGATTGGCTCGAGCTGTTTCATCGCGCGCGGCTTTCTCGCTTGCGTTTTTCTCTCGCGGCTGCCACTGGCGATGGAGAGCGCGATCCTCCAAGACCCCCCGCGAGACTCTCGGGGGCGCCGTCGGGGGCGAGAGCGTCGACTTCGGCGAAGCCCTGGCGCGCGCCGACGGCGAGGAGCCCCGCTTCCACGGCGGTTTCCCGCGCGGCCTCGTCTGGCAAGCAGGGTCGTCGAAGATCGCGGACTTTCTCGCTGCGCCCATGGGCGCCCATGCGGGCGCGAAGATCTCCTACTTTGGGGGCCTGCTGGCGGGCCCAGACTGCGAGGATATCCAGGGCCCCGACGGGGAAGCAGCCAGTGTCCTCGCTGGGCGGAAGGACGCCCAGGGACAACCGTGCCGCTTGGGCGCGGGCAAGGACCTTGCGACGAAGTCCAATTTCAGCGGCCTTCCCCCGCCGTTCAATCTCACGAGCCAGACTGGCGGGCCGCGCGACGCGAAGATTTTCGGCGCCGGCGCTGGCGAGGGCAAGGCGCGCATTTCCAGGGGCGTTTGTCCGGAGGTCCAGTTCCTGATGATGGCCAACTGCGAGCCAGTGCGTCGCGGCGCAGACATCGCGCGCCAGCGTGGGAATCAGCGCAGGGCACGCCGCAGCGCGATCTTATCCCCTGGAGAAGCTCGACGTCCTGCAGATTCGCTTTTCCGCGCTGACAGCCGCGGCGAAGACTTGCAAGCGCCCGGCCGATCGCGGCGCAAAGCTCGGGTGGCGCCGCTGCACCGGGAAGGGGGGCCCGACGAGCAACGACCGCAACCAGTTCGTAATGCGGCGCCATCTGGCCAGACGCACTTGCCTTTCGGGGCGAGGTGCGCCGCCGCATGGCCCACCTCAGCCGTGAAGAACAGACCGGCGTCAAGTTCGACAGCGGCGTGCTCGCGTAGCACGGCGAGCGCGGAAGCGGGGCCGATCGGGCCAGCTGCAAGAAGCCGCGCGGAAAGTGCAAGCCTGAGTGCCCTGGCGACCGCTTGCTCTGGAACCGTTGGCTCATCGCGGTCGAGCGCGGCAGCGGGGCCAACGCGGTCCTCGCCCAGCCCCCCTTGCAGGGGGGCGAGCATGGCGGGCGGCCGCGGCGCGCCCCTGAGCGCGTGCGGCAAGGCCGTCAGGAAACACCTCGGCCGCGATGCGATCGCCGTAACCCGCGTAGCCGAGTGCTACGAGGCCGTCGCCGTTGGCGACTTGACCTGTTCGCCCTCCTGCGACCGCGCGGATTGCAACGGGCGCTCGAGGGCAGCGGGGTCCGACGAGCACGGCGTCGGGTCGCGGCCGAGGCGCGGGCGGGGCCGCTTCTGCGCGCACTGCAGTTGGCAGGCCCTGTCGCATGGCGCGGTGGGCCACAGGAAGGAGGAGTGGGCGGTCGCGAGGGCCGTGCGCGTGCAGGACAAGGACGGCAATTTCCTTGCTATTGCGATGAAGCGCTGCACGCAGGCGGCGGGCGGCAGTTGGGGCGACGTCAAGTCGGCGCCCCCGAGCTCGATCAAGATCGCCGGCCGCGACCGCATCGCCGAGTGCGTCCACGCATGGGCGTGGCGCGCCAGGCCCCATTGGACCGACCTCTTCGCGGATTCGTGCTCAAAGTAGGCCGGGGCTGGCGAGGGGCCCGACGTCGGGGGCCGCGGTGCGCAGGGTGTTCGGGGGGCATTCCAGGCGCGAGGCCAGGCTCAGTCACTGGGCAGAGAACCCGTGCGACGCCGCCGTGCTGGGTACCCTACGCGACAATCGCTGCGTTGATATCCAGAGAGGGCCAGGAGGGGGGCGAGGAGGATCAGGGGGAGCTGAGGAGCATGGATGTGGCGAGCGAAGGGGAAACGGGAGGGACCGGAGGGGGAGCAGGAAAGGGAATTGTAGGCCAGACGGGGAGGCGCATGCGAACTTTGCAACTGGGAACTGCGGTGGAGTTTTTCATTGTGCCGCGAAGCGTGTGAGGGATGTGCTGAAATGGGCGGAGTACCGCATGTGGACTTTCGGTGGAGTTCCCTATGGGTCCACGAAACGTGTGCGGGGCGTGCCAAGACGGGGGCGGAACCGCATGCGTATTTTGCCACTGGGGTCGTCGGTGTAGCTCCCGATGGGGCCACGCAGCCAAAATGGGTCGGGAAACCCATGCGGACTTTGCCAATGGTGCTTTCGGTGGAGTTCCCGATGGGGTTGCGAAACGTTTGAGGGGTCGTCCGGCATGGAAGAAAGCATGTGAATTTGGCTACTGGTGTTTTCGGTGGAGCCACTGATGGGGCCACCCAGCGCGTGAGGGGTGTGCTGAGATGGGCGGGGGACCACATGCAAACCCTGCCACCGGAGCTTTCGATGGCTTTCCCCAGTGGGGCCACGAGACGATTGAGGGGTGTGCCGAAATGGGCGGGGAACCACATGTGGTATTTGAAATTGGGGCCTTCGGTGGAGCTCCATATATGGCCACGAAGCGTGTGAGGGGTGTGCCGATAGGGGCGGGCAGCCGGATGCGAGTTTTGCCACTGCGGCCTTCGGTGGATATCCTTCTAAGGCCACGAAACGTGCGCGGGGTGTGCCCAAACAGAGACATGCGGAGGGTAAAGGCAGGGATAAGAGGAGGGAGGGGGAAGGGGAGGGAGGAGGAGAGGAGACCAAGGGCGTTGTCTCTTCAAAACGAAAACCGAACACCACAGGCTGGTCGGGAAACAACGTTGTAAACAACGGGCGAGCAGTTTAACACGCCCTGTCCGTGCAGGCGCGGTGGCGGATAATCAACACAGGATTCCAGAAGGAATTGGGGTGTGTCACTTGGTGCCCAGCGGAAGCGTGGTGGATTGGACAGTTGAACGAGCGATCGTGCTGAAACATACGAACACACAGCGCGCATAGGTTTTCCGTGAAAACCGGGCGTGGGTGTAGAATCTAAAACCTCTTTTCAGATGGGGCACCATCTAGGCCCAGGGCTGCAACCATGAAGCGCCACCATTGGTGCCTCACACGGCCTCAACCGTGGTGCTGCACCAGGACATTGAATCACATGCACCACCATGAAGCATCATAGTAATACATATCGTATTCCCATTGGACACAAGGGGAAACAAACACAACAATTCTATCAATCTTGACCATCAGAGGGCACCAACCATGAAGAAGGCCCCCCCTGGCCGATATGGCCAGATCCAGAAATCTCAACAAGCTGGACCCTCATATAGCATTCGCCAAATGTGCCCCACGATGGCGCCAAGGGGAGACCCAACAAATCCCAACAAGCTGGGCCATTTGGTTGCGCCCGCCATAGGGTGTTTCCCAAATTGCGCACCAGCGCGAAAACCAGATATCCAAACAAACTGGACCATCTTAAGGCACAAACCATAGCCCCTCTCCTTAGGGCACCAGGGCAGGAACTACAAATACCATCCAACACCCCCAATCGTGTCCTTCCGGGCAAGTGCGAACCTACTGCAAGCGCTGCCTGGGGAAACGCCCCAGAAACGTCGCCGCCGCCGCCGCCGCCGCCGTCGTCGTTGTCGGCGCGGCCCTCTGCGCCGGCCGCCTCTCTCCAGGGGAGGGGGGGGGGGCGCCGCGGCCGCCACAGCCGCCGCAGCCGCCGCGTCCGCCGCCGCCGCTGTCGGCCGCGTCGGCGTCGTCGTCGTCGCCGCCTCCGCCGCCGCCGTCGTTGTCGTCGTCGTTGCCCCCATCGCGCTGGCCGTGCCCCGCCCTGCGCGCCCAGTTCGCCGGGCGCCAGCGGCGGCGGCCTCCCGGAGCGAGTCGTGCAGCAGGCTTTCCGGGCGGCGGGGAGCGTGGGTGGGAGGCGGAGCCCCCCAAAACCAGGTGAGATGTCACGTGGTGACATGGAATCCCCAGAAAGTCACCCGCCTGTTTTGTGATTTGAAAACCGCACGAGTCCCCAAATTGGGTGGTGACACCAACTCGCTCGAGCCTCGCCGCCGGGTGTTGTCACCACCGCGTCTGGAGGCGTCGGTGGTGGCACTCGTCGGGGCGCGCGAACGGAGGTCGGCGCTGCCGGGGGTGAGCCGGTCCCCTCTGACGAGCCACGTGGAGCCGCTGGCTCCTCCCTCCCCTCCCTCCGGTGGGCCGACCCGGTTGTTGCTGCCAATCCTCAGCGCACCTCGAATTGGACTTTGCAGGTGGACTGCGTCAGGTGAGCGAGTGGCACGCGCGCCCTGGCTCGTGCACGACGAGGGGTGGCGAGGGCCGGGAGAAGCGGGCGAGGAGGGAGGTTTTTTGTTTGGGGGGGGGGGCCATGCTGGTGCTCTCTCCTGAGGCCACGGTGAGGACACAGAGGCAGGTGGGCCCTGTGCGGGGGGGGGGGGGGGGGGGGCGACGAGCGCGCAGGCGACGACGACCGCAGAAGGCTCCGAGCCTTGGGGCGCAACTCGTGCAAGACAGCAGGCCGCAGTGAGCGCTCCGGCGAGGGCCTCGCCTGCGGGGAGCGGCGGCTTGGCATCGCTCGGCCGTGTGCATGTCTTCCGCGGCGAGGACCATGGAGGAGCATCCTGGATGACTCAGCGAAAACAGCACGCACGACATCGGAAGAATACGCGAGGGGTGGACGTCCGAGCGATGGCAAGGGGAGGGGGGAGGACCTCTCCTCTCCCCCCCCCAGGGGGCTGGCGGAAGCACCCGCGGGCAGCGGAAGAGGGGGGCGGCCCCGCCGGCGGAAGGCCGGCAGGAGCACGAGGTGCTGCTCTCGCGAGGTCGGGGGCCCCAGAGCGATCCGCACGTCGTGCATCCTCGGGGGTGGACAGACCTCCTACCCCGGCACGTCGATGGGCGAATTGGCTGGTTTCGGTTCGCGAGAGGGCGTCGCGGCCGTCATTCCTTGCGGGTCCAGGTCCGTCGGTTTCGGTCCCAACTGGGCCGTTTTCACTGAGGGGAGGCTCACGAAAGGGAGGGTTGTCCTCCGCCGAGTATCGGGAGGGGAAGAAGCCCACAGACACAATGAGTCGTCGATCCCCAGGAAAAGGACGGGAAAATTGTGGGAAGGGGGGCCGGCGCCGTGGCCCTGGCTGAGGCGGCGCCCTCGGGAGCGCGCTTTCTGCGCGCCGGAGAGGGGGGATTAAGTCGGGCATGTCCCTCAATAGGAGGAACATTCAAATATAGTCAACAACACAGGGTGGGTGCCCGTTTTTTTGATTATTTCTGACCATTTGAAAGTATTGCCTTTCGTCCCAAATCCGCCTGTAGGAGGACATGCCCGACCTAACCAGGGGCAACGACAGGGGGGGATAGGCACAGGGGGGATTCATCGACCACCGATCGCCGAAAGGGACCCGATAGCCCCACCCCGCCCAGGAAGGTGCGGATTCACCATGGGGGGCCTATCGCCGATCCATCGACGATGTATCGCCGATGCCAGGTATCCCCGCCAGAGCCTTTCCCCCCTGCATCGTTGCCCCTCGCCCAGAGGGAGGGTCTGGCGCCCAGCCGAGACACACCCGCGCTGTGGGCTCCGGGCGGGAGTGCAGTTGTGCGTCTGCTGTCCTGCTCCCCGTGCTGCTCGGGTGGCCAGGGCGATCCACGCACGATGTGCGTCGGAGGTGCAGTCGGGCCGAGGTGTGAGATCGAGGTCGGTTCGGGGAGGGTGCCCCTATCAGTGTTCTTCTCGTCCGCCGGGTGTTCTTGTGCATCCTGGGGAGGGTGGCCTCGGATGTTCTGTTTGTTTCGGCCGACGGAGGGTCTCATGTTCTTCAAGGATTCAGGAGGGAAACGAAAAACACACACAGACACAATGAATCGTCGATTCCCCAGAAAATATGGGAAGATATGGGACGTGGGGGGGAGACAACGACCCCGAAAACATGGGAAAATATGGGGAATCCTTTGATTTGTGTTCATTGATTTGTGTGTGTGTGTGTGTGTGTGTCCTGGGGCCCCGTCAAGGCTGTTCTTCCGGCCTGGGTCCGACTGATGCTCAGAGGAGGAGGAGGAGGAGGAGGGAGGAGGAGAGAGGAGGAGGAGGAGGAGGAGGAGGAGGAGAGGTGGAGGAGGACGGACGAGAGGAGGACGAGGAGGACGAGGAGGAGAGGACGAGGACGAGGAGGAGGAGAGAGGAGGACGAGGACGAGGAGGAGGACGAGGAGGAGGAGGACGAGGAGGAGGAGGAGGAGGAGGAGGAGGAGGATGTTCTTCCGGCCTGGGCCCGACTGGTGCTCGGACCTCCTGGGTGGCCCGCGTGCGCACGCGTCGGGGGTCGTCTTCCCTCGGCGGCTCTGGCCTCCGACCCTCGGGGGCGGTGCCCGGGCCTCCAGGGACGCGCCCGAGCACGCCAGGGCGCCGCAGAAAATGGTGACGATGCGGCCACTGGAGGAGGAGGAGGAGGAGGAAGAGGAGGAGGAGGAGGAGGGAGGAGGAGGGGAGGAGGAGGGAGGAGCAGGAGGAGGAGGAGGAGGAGAGGAGGAGGAGGAGGAGGAGGAGGAGGAGGAGGAGGAGGAGGAGGAGGAGGAGGAGGAGAGGAGGAGGAGGAGGAGGAGGAGGAGGAGGAGGTGGTGGTGGTGTACGGGGGCTCGGCACAGGGTGCCGCTGCTGCTCTCCGCGCCGTAGGGCAGCGCTGGGCTGCGGGCGCCGCGAGCTATAGCTCGAGCGGAGCTGCGGTGGCGAGCTCGGGTGGAGGCGCGGAGTGCGAGTGGCGGGCCGCGAGTGGCGCCAGTGGCCCCGGGCCCTTGCAGCCTGCCGCGGCGCCGGCTGCGGGCGCCGCGGGCCATAGCTCGGGCGGAGCTGCGGCGGCGAGCTCGGGTGGAAGCGCTGCGAGTGGCCCTGGCGGCCCCGGCCCCATGCTGCCTGCTGCCGCGCCGGCTGCGGGTGCACCCAGTGCGCCGCCGCCCTGGCACGCCTCTGCAGGCGCTGCGTTGCCCACGGACCTTCCCGTATTGGGCGGGCAGCTGCCGCCCGTGCCGAGTGGTGCCTCCCGCCGCTCTCGCCGGGCCCCAGCGGCTGGTGGCGGCGGGCAGTCCACGCAGCGGCGCATTCTACCGCGCGCCGACGGGCGGGCCCTGACCGACGTGGAAATCCTGCGTCTTGCGGCCACGTACCCTCGGGGCCAGCCGCTGTACCGCCACTCTGGCCAGGCCTTCTTCCTGTACGGCTCGCACGGGCAGAAGATCGGCGTGGCCATCCGCCCCGCCGAGGGCGGGGGGTGCGTGTCCTGCTGGCTCCGGCAAGGCAAGATCACACTCTCGGGGTCCCTGGGGATGCAGGCGGCACTCCTGGACGCGGTCCAGAACTGGACCGCGCCGTGGGCTGGTGGCCACGCACAGGGCGCGGCCCCTCCGGGTCCGGCTGCTCTCGCTCTGCAGCCGCCCCCAGCCCTCGCGCCCGCCGGGGGCCCCGCCGCCGGCGCTGGCCCGGGCGGTGCCGCCCCGCCGGCGGGCCCCGCTGCCGGCGCTGGCTCGGGCGGTGCCGCCGCGCCGGGGGGCCTTGCTAGCCCATGCAGGAGGCCCCCCCGCGCCCGGGGGCCCCGGCAGCCCGGGCGGCCCCGCCGCGCCTGGGGGCCCCGCCAGCGGCCGCGCGCGCGCGGCGCGTGCGCCGCCGCTCCAGGAGCCGCGCGCGCCGGCCCTCCTAGTTACTAGGTGGGCCAACTTTATCATGGATCGCACTTTTTCATGGTTCGCTGTTGTGGGTTGAAACGCGCGCCTTGCTTCATGGTGTGCGCGCGCGTGTGCCCCTGTGTGCGCGTTCTGTGTGTGTGTGTGTGTGTGTGTGTGTGTGTGTGTGTGTGTGTGTGTGTGTGTCGTGTGGTTGGTGTGCGTGCGGGTGCGTGTGCGCACGGTTGTCCATGCGGGGTATGTGGCAGGCGAGATGGGTTACGCCCAGGCAGGTATTGTGGGAGGTGGAGGGTGGCGGCGACGCTGTTCCAGGGCACCTTCCGGGACATCGAGGAGACGACACGGCAGGCACGGGTTCCACGGGGGCCCCCAACAGTGTCGCCAATTTGCGCGACGGGCCCCCCATGGACAGGGCACGTGCGGGGGCGCCTGCCCCGCTGCCGGACCCCCTTACTTGGGGCCCCCCACTTGGGCTGAGTTCTTCCACCCGCCTCTGCCCGAGGCGCTGGGTCCAGCGTCCTACTTAGGGCGAAGAGACGAAGAAGAAGAAGAAGAAGAAGGAGGAGGAGGAGGAGGAGGAGGAGGGAAAGGAGGAGGAGGAGAAGGTGGAAGAGGAGGAGGAGGAAGAAAATGAGGAGGGGGTGGAGAGGAGTGGGCCCCGCTGCGGAATGCAAGTGCCGTGGGATGACCAGGGCGCCGCAGAAGTAGTGACGCCAGGGTGCCGCAGAAGTAGCGACGATGTTCAGAGCGTGAATTACCTACCCCGCTTTCGCTTCCAGGCAAAACCAAGTCATGCCACGCGCCTCCTCGTCGAGCGGCCTGACCAGCGCAGGCCGTAGTTTGGCGTCGCCGGCATCTCTTGGAAGCGAGGGTGGTCAAAAGCGAGGTAGGTTTGTTTGTGCCCTAGATGCGGCAGGATCTTCCGACGCCAACTATTCGAGGAGGGGATCGCCACTGAATCCCACCAGCCCTTTAGGGCGTAGGTGGTCTAGGGAGTTTCCTCTGCCAACCCCCTTCTTCCCCTTCGGGGAGGGGTTTACCCCTCCCCTTACCCCTCCCCACTGACCTGGACGGGGCCGGTCGCGAGGTGTCAGAGCGTCCAAGATGGCCCAAGACAGCTCCAAGAGCGAACAGGCGAGATAACCCAAAAATTGATGTTACATAGGTTTTGGAAGGATTTTGGCATCTTGGGGGGGCCCAAGAGGCGACTCGAGGCACACTGGAGGGGCGGGGCTAATAAGCAACCCCCCCTTCTTTGATAGATCTCCTCCAAGATGGCCCAAAGAGCGCCCCGAAGGCTCCCAAGAGCGCCCCAAGAGCGCCTCAAGAGGGCCCCAAGAGACCCCAAGAGGCCCCCAATAAGCCTCCAAGACGTTGCCAAGAGACCCCCCAGAGGCCCCAAGAGAGTCCAAGATGACCCAAGACGGCTCCAAGAGCGAAAAGGCGAGAAAGCAACAAACATTGATTTTACCCAGGTTTTGGAAGGATTTTGGCCTCTTGGGGCGCCCAAGAGGCGACTCGAGGCACTCTAGAGGGGCAGCGCTAATTGGGGAACCCCCCTTCTTTGATAGATCTCCTCCAAGATGGCCCCAAGAGCGCCTCGAAGGCTCCCAAGAGCGCCCCAAGAGCGCCCCAAGAGAGCCCCAAGAGGCCCCAAAGGCCCCCATGAGGCCTCCAAGAGGCCCCCAAGAGACCCCCAAGAGGCCACAAGAGGCCCCCCGAGATACGCAAGAGGCCCCCGGGACCGCCAAGAGGCCCCAAAGACGGCCCAAGAGGCCCCCAAGCTCGCCATTGTCCTCCTCCTCCTCCTCTTTTTCTTCCTCCTCCCTCCTCCCCCTCCCCCTCCTCCTCCTCCTCCTCCTCCTCCTTTTCCTTTTCCTCCTTCTCGTCCTCCTCGTCCTCGCAGTCCTCCATCTCCTCCTCCTTCTTTCCTCCTCCTCCTCCTGCTCCTCCTCCTGCTCCTCCTCTTCCTCCTCCTACTCCGACGACGACGGCTCCTCCTACATCCTCCCCCTCTTGGGGCATATGGCGGCTCACCCCGCCCTTTGTTCTTCTGCATGCTCCCCCGCTTCCCTCATAACCTCCACTCCCCTGGGACTCATTTCTGGACGGGCTGGTGGGGATACGCGAAGCGTCTAGAATTCACTCACCCCAGAGGTGATCTTCTCGTCGAGTGCAGGATCGGTTTGCAGACTTGGTTCATCGATCTACGGGGCACTCCAATATTTGTCCGCAGATCTCGACGAACATATCAATCCTGGGGGAAATCAGTGTTGTAGTCGCTCCCCTACTCGAACTATAGCCAAGACTGTGCAGTGAGGACCACTTTGGGCTCGGGAGGGGCTGGTGGTTTGGGGGCCGTTCTTCAGAGCTGGGTCGGGATGCCTATTCGTGGCCGAGGCTCGCCGTGGCCAGAAAGCCGATACGCCCCTTCCTTGAAATCCTCCGTTGCGAAATCTACGACATCGCGAAACATCAGTACCAGCTCCCTGGACCCCAACTGTTTGCTGCATTCTCGAGTTGGATCGACCTGCGGTGGTCCTTGGGTCCGAAACCGGGGGAGAGTTGCCCAGTGCGAAGTATCTGCAGTGCCCAGGTCTCACATGGTTGTGGTAGCACGACTGCTGCATTCTGGCCACCATGGTGTCAGCTTGCCGTCGTAGGCGAAACACATGGCCGTTCCCGCGGCCTCGTGGGCCGGGCCCTTGGGCCGCGACCCCGCGGATGCGGGGCGCTTCTTCGCGGATGCCCCGCGTGCAACGTGATCATCCGTGCGGTCTCGCATCCGCGGGATCGCGCCTCGGAGTCCAGACCGCGAGGGCGCGGATGCGTGTCGGTTCGCCGCTCCGTGGCGCTGCACCCCCGAGGGTGTTGCGCGCGCGCGGGAGTGGCCGGCCTGCGAGTGCCCAGGCCCCCGCGGCGGCTCGGGCGTTCGGTGCTGCCCCCCCCCCGCCCTCAGACCTCTCGACCCCTGCTCCGCGGCGTGTGTCAAGCAGGCGTCCTGGCTTTCCAAGATGCCCACCCAAGGATGGTATGAGAACCTTCTTCTGTGGTTTGGACGAAGTGTTCTCAGACCGTGTCTGGCTGAGACCGTACTGCTTCAACACAGCGCATGGATGATCTAGGAGCTATGCTGTGGTTCTGACATCACTCGGTAGTTCTGAGAGCGTGTCGTGGTAAGCCTATAGGGATTCCGGGTCGTTGTTCGACGGTCCCAGTGCCCGTGAACAGCATTCGGACGCGGAAGTTCCGACCCTCGGAGCAGGGCGCTCGCGCGCCAGCCGATTCCAGCAAGACGTGCGAGCAAGCGAGCGAGACGAGTCGAGCCCAGCGACCCCGCCGAAGCTCCTTGCGCACGAGGGTACGGTCCCTCCGGGCCGGACCTAAGCGCTGTTTTCGGCGATCTCGTGGGCCGGTTCCGTTTCGACTTCGTGCTGCGGGAAAGGCGGCCTCAAAACAACAGCGAGGGCCAACGAAAACAAAACGGAAACGAACAACGCCGTTCAGGTTCGTCACCACCCACCAAACCACCCCAACCCAACCCGAAGGCTCAGATTTACCCTCGATTTCTAGTGGGGGGGGGTCCGGGAATATCGAAAAAACACATATGGAGCCCATACCCCCCCCAACCCGAAATTCGGGTCTTCGGGTTGGGTTGGGGTGGTTTGGTAGGTAGTCAGGTTCAGCCCTGCTGTCGCCCCCCGGGGGATCGCGAGGATGCCGGCGCCCCGCGCCTCGCGCGCCCGGGCCAGAGCGGCTGCGCCTCTCCCCAAGGGGGGCGGCGCGAGGGCGCGAGGGCGCGCAGGTGCTTTGCTCGCGCCTCGCGGGGCGCGATGCGCAAAGGCAGGCGAGGTAGGAATGGTGAGCCAAATTCGGCGAGATACATCCTCGGGTCTGGCCCTTCGCGTCCTCCCTGCTTCTTCTCCCCACGCCTCTCCTCGAAGTCAACCCTGGGACCTGTCCTGGTGTGCGCCCCAAGGAGGCAAGTAGCACAAACATCGACCTGGTCGTTGTCGTCAGCGTCCTCCTCCTCCGCCTCCTCCTCCTCAGCTTACCTCCGTCGTTGTGTTTTTCTCAGTCAGGCTTTGCCTTTGGGATTCGCACTTGTCTGGTGAAGAAGAATATGGTGGGAGATCACTGGCAGGAGGCGTAGGGTGATGAGGAGGATGCGAACAACGCCCCCCCCGTTAAGAGGCTGCCTTTGCCAGCGACCTCGAGGATGGCACTGGCGAGAAGGCGCGGGCCTTGCTGCTGCCACAAAGTGTCCCCGTCCGTTCCTGCCCTCCCGCGCTGCACTGGCAGGGAGGGTGGACAGTCATACCGAGTCTCCCGGATGAGGAGGAGGAGGAGGAGGAGGAGGAGGAGGAGGAGGAGGAGGAGGAGGAGGAGGAGGAGGAGGAGGAGGAGGAGGAGGAGGAGGAAGGAGGAGGAGGAGGAGGAGGAGGAGGAGGAGGAGGAGGAGGAGGAGGAGGAGGAGGAGGAGGAGGAGCAGGAGGAGGAGGTGGGGGGGGGAGGAGCCGGAGAAGTGCGTCGAAGGGCCGTCGTTGAGGAGAGCTCGTGCGGCTGCGCAGTGGCGGGCATCCCCGAAGCACTGCCCTCGGGCGGTCGGCTCGGGTGCCCTGGCTGAGCCGCGGGGTCCGTGGCGGCAGGCCAGGAACGGACATGCGAACGGATGTGCCTTGGGAAGGGGAAAACCACACAGACATAATCAATCGTCGACTCCCAGAAAAATATAGGAAAATACGGGAAGTGGGGGGGAAGACGAAAACCTAGAAAATGCAGGAAAAGATGGGGAATCCTGTTATTTGTGTCTATTTATTTGCGTGTCCCATGGCCCCTTCAGTGCCATCGGGATTGAATTTTAGTCGGGCTCGTGCCTCTACAGGATGAGTATTCAAAAACAGTCGAAAAGAATACGAAGGGGGATGCTTTTCCTTTTATTATTCTTGTTACTCGTATTATTACAACTAATAAGAACAATAAGAATAGCAATAATAAATTGCTATTAATAGGATTGAGATAGCAATAAGAACAATAACATTAATAAGAACAACGTGTTTATTGTTATCATTTATATATTAACAATAAGAATAATACGACTAACCCCAGGAAGCATTTAAGAACCCCCCCCCCTTCCGGCAAATCGATAACCCTTCCGCACCCTAGAAGCGTTACCTGGCACCAGGAGCCCTCCTCCTCCTCCTCATCCTCCTCCTCCTCCTCCTCTCCTCCACCCACGAACTTCCTCCTGCCCCCTCCTCCTCCTCCTCCTCCTCCTCCTCCCGCGCCCCCCTCCTTCCCTCGGGGCCCAAGTCTTTCATGAGAGCCACGCAGATTTGAATTTCGAATTTCGATTGTAGCCCAGGGGCCAGGCCTCCGCGAATTTGTTGTGTGTCCGGGTGCTAAACCTATCGTGCGGTTATTTCGGCCCCTCGGAATATCGAATAAAAATGCGGTGCTAAGATATCGCCGGGGGGTTTCTTAAATGCGTCCTGGGGTTAATAATAATAGTACTAATAATATTATCAATCATAGTCATAATAATCCTATTGTTGCATTATTAAGGGGTAGTTGGTTTAACAATATTTGTTTTAATTTTCGGCCCACATCCGCCTGCAGGAGGACATGCCCGACATACGATTAGACTACCCATACCCCTACCCTTTCCCCGTTTGCCCCTTTCGTCGCCACCGCTAGATTCGCTTCGAAATGCTGGTCAGAGCGCACCCCAGGAAAGGTCTGGGGAGAGCAGCGGTATGGGTATCTTGTGGTTTCCCCAGCAGTGCCACAGTATCCGGGTGCCGACCACGGTCCCGTCGGTGGTCCCCCCTGCGTTGGCGCTGTTTTTTCTCATCCCAGGCGCGGGGGGTTACATATGCGCTGGGGCGGAGCCAGGGACAGTCGACAGGACCAGGATTCGCGGAAGTCATCCCCTCCTCATTGCTTGCGTGTCGCCTTCCATTCCAATACTTCCCGCCCTCCCACCCGCTCACCCTCTCCTGGCCTCTTTCTCCATCATTGGTTATCCTCCCTTCTCCTTCTCTCTTTGCATTCCTCCCCTCTCCTGCCTTCTCCTTCTTCCATCCTCTCTTCACTGCTCCACTGCCTCTCGCCCTGCTCCCTGACGAAGACGAGCGATGACGACGGCGACGAGTCACGTCGACGATGGCGACCACAACAACGACGACGACGAGTGAGAAACGAAGACGAGTGACGACCCCGTTGGCGGTGACGACGAGGTTGACGACGACGTCGTCGAGAGATGTCGACGAGCGGCGGCGACGCTTGACGCCGACGACGCTTGACGACGACGACGATTGACGACAATGATGGCTGACGAGTGACGGTTGACGGAGGACGAACATTCGAAAAGCGACGACGATGTTGGGCGACACGCGACCACACGAGGTCGAGGGCGACCACGACGAATGGTGACGACAGCGACGACAAGTGCCGACGGCGACGGCAGCGACCAGCGACGACGACGGAGATACATAGAGACGCCGACAACGACCACGACGACGAGGACCCGTGGCGAGCGATGCCGAGTGACGACCACGACAACAACGACAGCGACGCCGTCGACGAGAATTGACGGCGACGACCAGCAACGGCGCCGAGCGATGAATACGTCGACACGGACTAATCTACACGACGATGACGGCGACGGCGTTGACAGCATGAATTGACGACGGAGAGCGGCGACGATTACGACGACGAGTGACGACGATGTGGGCACAGCAAATTTGCTGAGCATGACGACCACGGATGACAGACAGCAGCGAATGACGATGACGACGGCGACGGCGTTGACATCTTCAATTGACGACGAGCGGCGACTGCGATTGACGTAGACGAAGACGAAGACGGCGACGCCGACGAACGACGACAGTGACGATGATCGGCTGAGGACGACCAACGGCGACGACGGCGATGAGTGACGACTACGACGAGCGGCGACGACGACAAGTGACGATGACGAAGGGCGGCGACGACGAGTGACGACGATGACGACCGCAGCAATGACGACGAATCCAGCGACCACGGATGACAGGCAACGGTGATTTACGACGACGACGTCGGCGGCGACGGCTACGGCGTTGACGACGAGGACGGCGACGGTGACGACATCGACGACGACGACTGGTGACGACTTTGAGTTGCCTGGCCACACCTGAACACTCATGTTCCGTTCTGCAAATCTACATAATGTATGGCATCACACCACTATAATAGGTAACGAAGTCCATTATTTTCTGTTGTTAATATTCGACCGATCGCCTCCGATAGCTCCCGATAGGTTGTTTCTCTCCACACATTGATTTCACCAGTAGGGAACTGCCTCCGATAGCTTCTGATAGGTTAGTGGAAATTCAAATATCCGGTTTCTTGTTGTTGATACTTTTCTCAGTATTTAGTTGTTCGATGCCGATTGTTTCCTAAAATCCGCTTCCTAGGAGGGTCTGTCCACTCAACATTTGAGTCACGGCGACGTCGACGAACGTCGACAAGGGTGAGGTGCCGGCGGATTGCGAGCGACGACGGCGGCGCCTAGTGACGATTACGACGATGGACGACAAGCGGTGGCGAGTGGTGACGAACGACGACGACGTTCACAACGACGACGACGACGACGACGACGAGTGACGACGTCGACTAGCAACGACGACGACGACGACCTCGACAAGTGACGACGAATGACGTCGACGACGAGAGATGACGTCGAGCGGCGTCGACGACGATTGACGACCACGGCGGGGACGAATACGACCGCGACGACGACGACCACTGGTGACGACGAGCGACAAAAACGTTGACCAACGACGACGGTCAGCGGTGGAAGATGACGAGCGGCGACGGCACGGACACCGACTGGCGACGATGACGACGAAGGCGACGGCTGGCAAGCAACCTGACAACACGACGACGAAGACGATAACAACGAATGATGAAGACGGGTGTCGATGACAAGGGAGGGGTGACGACGAGGGACGACGACGACGACGACGGCGGCCAAGAACAGTGTTTCTCTAATTAGGTACGGCGGTACTGAGAGACGATTACGAGTGACGTCGACAACGACGAGTGACAACGAAGAGTGACGACGGCAAGCAACGTTCGACGACGAGTAACGACGACGATGACGGCGAGGGCGGCGAGTGATGTCGACGACGACGACGACGAGGGACAAACGCCGATGACGACGGGCAACGACGACGATGCCGACCATGACCTCGATGACGAGGACTTGTGACAAGCGACTTCGAGTCACGACGACGGTGGCGAGAGCGACGACGAAGGGAACTGACGACGCATGACGACATCGGCGAGTGCTGGAGGACGACGAGTCACGATGACGACGTCAGCGAGTGACGACCGACGACGACGTCGTCAACGACGAGTAACCACAACGATAATGGTGACAACGAGTGACGACATAACGTGGGACGAGAGTCGACGACGAGTGGCGGAGGACGGCACCACGACGTCAACGAGCACGCGAGTGCGACGACGAGCACGGCGGTGACGACCGGGAAGACGACGACGCGGATACCCTAGCAACATGAATGTGCAAGAGATGCGCCCCTAGGAAGTAGACCCTACCCTATATGCAAGCACAGTACAAGCCGATCTGCACATCCATGCAAAGCGGAAGCAGACGCAACATTCGTGCTGGCACACTGGAGAAGCGCCGGCAACATTGAAGCAGACCTCGCCAGGCCCGGGGGGCCGGAGGGAGCAGAAGCGACGCCAACACCAACAGGGGGGCCACCTCCAGCGAGGGGGTCCGCGGTGCCTCCCCGAGCCGGGGGCTGGGGATGTCTCGAGCGAGAGGGGGGGTACCACACCGCCAGGGATCAGGGGGAAAAGAAACACACAGACACAATTAATCGTCGACTCCCAGGAAAATATGCAAAAATATGGGAAGTGGGGGGGAAGACAAAAACCCAGAAAATATGGGGAAATATGGGGAATATTTTTATTTGTGTGTATTTATGTGTGTGTCCTAATTTCCCTTTAAGGGAGACCCCCCCGGCTCCTCGCATCTTCCCGCCCCGGTCGTGCTGGTGTCGCCACTCATGTCGGGGGCGGCAAAGAGGGGGGTGATGACTGGGGGGGGTGGATATCATGGCGGGGGCCAGGATGTTTCCCCCGATTTCATGGCGCCTCTTCCTGCCTCACCACGTCCCTGCCCCCCCCGCTGGGCCGCGCACATGCCGCTGGTCATGATTTGC